TCTACGACAACGCGGATTTGCGCATATAAAGGATTGGGAGTCGCTTACGTTCCTTTTACCATATGAATACAAAAAGATTTTACACGATGTACCAGAAGTATCGAGATACATTAATATCAATGAGGAAGTAAAGCGACCCCTATTCTGTTTGTCTCCTCCAATGCGTCATAAGACACGACCGATCAGCGAAATTATACCGAATACTACTTCATCAACGAGCAGTACCGCGACGCAACCATCTTCCGGATACAGAGGCTCGTCGACAATTTTAACCGATTCCTCGACAAATCAGCAGCCATTGTCGAACAATGCGATTAATCCGTTATATTTATATCGATATGACAGTATGAGTTCGGAGGCCAGTTTGAATAACGACAAGAAAATGCATAGGCTCAATCAAACGAGGCAGGCTTGTCCGTCTCTTCCAAAGCGATCCGTATCGTTACCGCAAGGCGAGGGTGAATCTGATAGTGGCAGAGTACCGCCGCGACCGCCATTGCCAAGGAGTATTTTACGAAAGAACAAGGTACTTACAAGTAAACGATACAGCATGTTCGAGATGGGAGATGTGGGCGAACAATCGGAAGAATCTGTGGACGTAAACAAGAGAATGTCTTTGCAAGAGCCATACTACATGAATAATGATTTGCAGTTGTTATGTCGCGAAAGAACGATCGATTCAGAAAAGGATGTCGACGAGACAGAAGCGGAGAGATATCTTAAAGGTAAGGATAAATCATTTGGCATTTCAGATTGTTTTTAATTGTCGACCTATATTCATTCAACACACTTTACAATATAATTATCGTAGAGAAATTAAACGACATTACAAATAATGCGAATGTGGAGTCGGAAACTTCTCAGAATAGCGACGATGACATCAAGCAATTGGAAGAATATTTGAAACGTAGTGCAATCTCGTCGCAAAGCAGCGACGGAGATATTGACAATGCTGAAGTAAAAGTGAGATCGTACGTAAGAAAATTTTTAGCTTTGAGAATGAACAAGGATCCACTTGTTAGAAATATCGATATAGGAGAATCGCAAAGAAAAACCGTCAGTTTTGCTACGCACCAAAGAAAAAAGCATCTGGACGCTAAGGTAAATCACTAATATTAATTTTAGCATTAGCAAATTTCTGGAGACCTTTGTGTGTACTTGTTCTAATATACATATAAGAGTATTTATTCATTTCAGCTAAATAATCTGAATGTCGTCGTAAATGAACAAAGTCACGATCAGGCAACTGAGGATAAATTAATAGAGTTAGAAGAAAAGAAAAGTATGCACGTTATATTTATTACCTAATCTAATTCTATTAAATGAAAGTATCTCGAAATCTTTAATGCGATGCTCTTTTCAGAAATGGTGTTGTCTGTAAATAGGGCGGTGGATCTTTTATTAAAGTATTGGAACGCTGACTCCAACCATAGTCGTCCTAATTATAACGAAAGGAACGAGTGTGCGCAAATTTGTCTGAGTAATTTGTGCCCAGCTTTATATGCTGTTATGTCGGATGGCTTGAAACCCCATTTGAATTCCACTTTTGGACCAATTACCAATAGCGTTTGGCAGGTTGTCGAAGCTAGCTCTCAACAAGGACCCCTCACAAAGACGTTGAATGAATTAGTGCAGAGAATTAATGGCGAAGATGTTATTACAGAAGGAATGTTAAAGTTCCATGCATTTGTATTTGGCTTGTTGAAGTAAGTTAGAATCGCTAGTCTTTCTCTCGTTCTGCCTTTCATCGTTACATTACGATTTCAGTATTTCATATTTATTTATATAGATTATAGTTTTTATCCGTTTAACAAATTGATTATGTAATTAACCTATCTCATTCTCTTTTCCAGTCTAAGAGCTTTAGATGCATGGTTTGCATATTTATGTACACGTGAATCAATCTTACGGAAACATTACAGTAACAATAGCTTATTTGTCGCGGCTTTGGCCAATGCGAATGTCCGAGAAATCGTTGATTCGTTGTTGTACATCCTGAATCCACTTGCATTTTGCCCATTTCACTTGGATCTTCTCTATCAATATCGTCAATTGCAAAATAGTTTTGGGAATGTGAATAATCATACGGTGAATGTAAGTAAACCTATCATTTTATATATATATATATATATATATATGCTAGTGCGTTCATTTCACGCGATTTTGTAGGCCATGAGCTTTAGAAACGCCGATCTGACTGTGAAAGATCTCGAGGTTGAGGAAACGGAATCCTGCAGAATGATTTCTAGTCCGAAAAAGATACGACCAAGATCTTGCATTGCTTATAACATGGACGATAAATGCAGCATCGTGCATAAAGGCGATCTTCAGAATGCAAAAAAACGTTTCAGTGCCATAAATCCGAAGGCGTTTTACGCGTTGGACAAATTGACTTCTGAAGATTCGGAAGATTACACAGATAGTCTGGAACATTCTCCTTTAAATAAAAAAGCAAGCAAGCAGTCACAATCTAAACTTTTTAATCCTGATATTAAATCGAGTGACGACAATGGTCTTTCTGTTGAAACAAAATTCAAAAAATTGCAAGAAAAATGGGAATTGATTGGTAAGGAAGGTAATAAGGGTCAACCTGTCGTAATGACTCCCTCCTCGCCGGTTCGGACATTCGGAGTATTAGGGAAGTCAAAGATACCTAGATTGCTTACATCACCAGTGAAGCAATCTAATGTTGCGGCGAATATCGTTGGGAAATCGTCAAAATCACCCATGTCGGGAATATCTTCATTAAAGAAGCCCGCTAATCTTCCTACGACAAAGACAGCCCTAAAGAAACCTATAGATACGAAAACGAGAGACGTGACGCGTCGTACGAGCCGCGTTGATCAAGATACTCTAGGCGTGACACGAACTCATACTGCGCGCCCGAGTTCCTTACCATATAAATCCCATGGAGTAATGTCGAATGACAAGAATCTAATCTCGCCTCACAGACGAGCCGTTTCGACATCTCTACCACGACCGACTGTTACTACTGTTTCAAGGACACCGGTTTCAAAACATCCACACAAGTAAATATCAATGTTTCATATGAGCATGTACTATGTTTTAGAATCTATCTTTTCCCTCTATAGTTTTATATTGGTTGCAAATATTATTTGTTTATATGAGTCATATTACAAATGAAATAATGTAACTTTTGTTTATACATTTATTTACACTACGCTTTTCTACCTTTGTTTTGCTTTGTATTTTAGCTCTTTTTTTTTCTCTCTTTCTTTAGATTCGTACGATAACGGTTCGCGCGTCTCGATTGCAGAGAGGTCCGTACTCTCACTCATAGGATACCGTCGGACACTGGCCATCTTTCATTCGCAGAGGGGGAGAAACTGAAAGTAATATTAGAGGTGGATAATAAGTGGTTATTGTGCGCGAAAGGTGATCGAAGAGGTTTGGTACCACGAGCATGTGTACGCAGCGTTCAAACTTAGCCCCTCTTCTCGACAACCCTTCGTGATCGCAATTGTAACCATGATCCTACCCAGCGATCATAACTGTAATTTCACCCTCAAAAATGGAACGAAGATGAGCGAATTGCGAGGACGAGCTGAAAAGTTCAAATTACCTAAATATCCCGAGGCGATATAAGTGATGTACAGTGTATTAAAATTGTTTTTAAGCCATATGATATAATACGCATTGTCACGCGCTTGTAAAGTTACTTTTAACAGAAGTTTAATCGAAAACATTTCGTTTCTATGGAAATGCGACAGTAGTATTATCGCTAGCGGCGCCATCGAAGATAAAAATATCACACCCTAGTCATAGGCTTTTTTTAGACGACATTATATTTATTTAGATTCATTTATTTTAGAACGATGTACAAATGCGAGGATAACGATTCGATATATCCTCGACGATTAAAAAGCCGAAAACAGTGTGTATAATTACACATATTATGAATGTGTGTGTGTAACTGTGATCCTAGTAAATAGGCGATTAAGTTTATTAGTGGGAACGCGTGATGTATATATTTTCTTCTGATGTTTATATACTGTGACTTTCTAATTTATTTATATCTTACTTTTTACATCGCGCATCAACGATCCTTCATTCTGATTTTATTTAAGTCATTTACGACATGCTTCTTCGTGATGGCGACGATTACATTTTTTACATGCTTCATGGTATTTCCTGATACATACATACATACATATATGTATATATACATGTACATATACATATATGTATGTGTTTCGATATATGATATAATCAAATAAATCTGTTGTGAATTATATTTAGAAATGTATGTAGTCTATCAATTACATCTAATGCAACTCAATGCAACGTGGAATGTCTTTTTAATACCATTTTGGTTCATAATCTAACGAAGTAATCTGCTTTTATATAATCTTATATCATAAAAGTGAGCGCATTAGGAATAGATAAGGCTTTTTTTAGTTCACATTTATATGAAAGAAAAATTTTACGCGATGTTGCAGGTAGTTCATCAAAACGTGACTACTTCACCTTTAATAATTTTTAATAATTTGTCAATTTTTTGCAAATCATAAATATAGGATATGACGATGTATAATAACTTTCATTAATGAAAGCATCTTCTTTTAACAAAAAAAATTTCTTGTTGCAAGTGGATTGATATTACATAATAAATTTTCTGCGAAAAAGATAAATGAAGTTTGAACATTTACAGAGAACAGTCACAGAAGCACTTGTTCACACACCTTTTGTGACACCTGCTTGAAGTTTCAAGGAGGCTGTTGTAACAGCAAAAATAACTAATGTAAAAATTATGAGTTATCATTGCGAAATTTTTGCAGCTTGCTTAGAATGAATGTAAGTTAGACAGAATAAAGTAGCTTTCTTCGATATAAAATCACGATAAAAGAATAAGGGCTGATAAGAGGAAGAATGCTGTTGTTACGTAATTATTTAGACAGATTTTAATCGCGTTATCTCTACGATCGTTATCGAAATAATCATTTATATTTCAAGACGTTGTGCATATATAAAACGGCGCAATTAATCGCTTGTCAGTCAGCCGATTTTTGCTGTGAACGACATCTTGGTGATATCGATAAGTAATCATGAGAATTACCATCGCATTGTCCTTTTTGGCTGTGCTTTGTACCGTAAGTTTCTTGTTGAGAAATAATTTATAATAGAAAAAGAGAAATGTTTGAACGGAGTAGATACAGCACAGTCTTGAATTTTATTTGTGCAGAGTTTTAATTCGAAACATATAGTAAGATTTAATAAAATTGATCGCATTATTAAACAAGAGAGAAATAGCCAATGTGGCATGAATATGTAATTGCAATCGAAATGCGGTGCACTTATTATTTTTTACCCCTTACCCTCACAACTTTAGATCGAGGCTATTCCAGCAGAGCCGGTTGATTTGGAAATTTTGAGACTTCGAGCGAGAGAACTGAAATGGAATATAGAAAATACTATACGTCAACTTGAGCTACTTCGTACCCAGACCGAGGAAGATACCGTTCAAAAAATTTCCTTAAAGTGGAATGAAGAACAAGACAGTCATAGAGAATATAAAACTTTATTACTCTCTGGAATACGCGTAAGTATAAATAATTAAAAATAATCTGTGAACACAAGACGCTATATAATTTTCTCCATTTATTTCATAATTATTCACAAATCTGTACAAATTGTCACTAAATCTTCAAAATATAATTCGTACATTATCCGAGCACTTAATCTTAAATTATATTTTTTGATTAAGGTTACAAAATTGTTTCATTAGTACATTAATCTGTGTGAATCTTAAACGATTGTATAAAATTATAAAAGATTAAAGATACACATAAAATTCTGTGTATGATAATCATTTGACAACTTTGATATTTGATAAAATATTATAAACCCCTAACATATATCGTAATTCATTTGTGTATTATACCAAGAATTTATTTATTTTTAGACTGAAGTAAACGTCGCTAAGGCGGCGGGCAAAGACGTGACCTCATGCTACAACGAAGCTATCGAAGGTGTCAAAAATAATGAGCAAGTAGCATATCAGGAGGCTGCAACATGCGAAGACTCCGCTGGAAATTCCATCCATAACAACCTTGGTTTCATCGATAATCTCATTTCAGTAAGCTTTTTCGCGACAATTACATATAGTTGTAGATATAGATTGCACATAGATTGTAGATCACGATCAATTTATCTTTTAATTAGAATTAATAAAATTCTAATAAAATTCTAATCGTTAATTTTTCCCTAGACTGGAGACGCGTTGTCGTTGCAGTCGGACAGTATCTTCTTGAATTGTCACGACAGCGACGTTTACAGAATGCGGAGCTGCATTATCGGTGAACTGGGGAAAGCAGAAAGCTCCTTGAAAACCTTGGAGAGCGACAGCGTTACCGCAGAGATGACCATTGCACCCGTGTCCAAGAATGTCATTACGCAGGCCAGCAACTGTATCAAACAGGCATATTCCGTTACGTATACGGAGGGGGCAGCTATCAGATTGAGAGTCACTCAATGTATTGAAACAATCACCACGCCAGCTACGACAATAGCTACGACAACTACGACGATACGGTCTCCCCCAGAAGAATAATTTTAAATCTACTAAGTTTGCTGTCCATTTTTTTTGTTGAAAGTAACTCTAAAAAAGAATCGAGATTATCATTTCGAGAAACAGGAACATCACGATGTTAGAGTGTAATTATGTAATATGAATAATTATGTAATATGAACGAAATAAAAATATCTCCAAAAGAGAATTACTTATTCACGCACATACAAATTTCTTATGCTTGTAATTGACCTTCACCAGGCGTACGCTTCGCGTAAGATCGCGTAAAATCGCGCAAAAATAAGCTGCATTTTATCTTTATACAAATGAATTTTAACACGCGCAATCAGTTTTACGAAATCTAATTATTTAATCTTTTATTCGGTTTACGTCGGAGTGACGGAGAGTAATATAAGTAGCACTAGCTATATCACACGTTGACTCGGCAATCCTTTATTAAGATGTTATCTTCAGGATTAATGAAGGAATTCATTATGTAATATTCAAGTAAACTCTATAATTAGACTTTCAAAAGTTCAAACAAGGCTACTATATTTAATGAGAAAAGCATGAATAACAAAGATATCTTCATATTTTTGACTTGATATCTTCAAGATCAGACATTCTTCGACATTGATAATTAAGGAATGGCTTATCTTGTTAATTCTTCCCTCCCTCCCGCTCTCCTCTTTCCTTACCATCTCTCCAAGTTTGTCCAAATGTTTTTTTTTTTATCATACCTTATATATATAAAAAGGCGAAATTAATGTAATACTTATCAGTTATTCGAAAAAATTCGCATATCAACAGAGTCACTTCCAAGTGATACCAATAACTAATAAGCAAGCATGAGAATCGCTATAGCGTTGTGCTTTTCGGCTATATTTTGTACCGTAAATTCGGTAAGTTCTTATCTTTTCTTTGCGAGAAAAGATTGTGAAAAAGATAGCCAAAATGAAAGTTTGTATGTAATAGATAAGCGTTTAATTAATATATAATACCATTTTTAATGGAATGAATGTTTGCTAAAATACTTTGAATCGTTTTCTTCTTTAATCAGTTACGTTTTTGTTATCTTATACTCTCTGTTATCTTATACTTGACTAAACTTAAGTTAATCTAAATCAGCGAGATTGCAAGAATGTATGATTGCTCAAAGTAATACTTTCTTTAAATGTCGTGAATATATAATACATGTAGCATTCATTTTTCGTACTTAGGCTGCCATTCCAATGAACTTTGACTATTTGGAAGATGAACAATTTATAAAAGTAAAAAATACGATATTGAATGTGGACCGTATCGTAAAACGAATTGCACGTGTCCAGGCTGATACTAAAGAGGATGCTATATTGACAATTACGAAAAGATGGAATCAGCAAATGAATAATTACAGAGATTACGTTAATCTATTGGTCGATTCGATGCGCGTGAGTAATAATTCGAAATTGATTTGCAATCGAGATGCTCACTTATACGCTTATTTTGTTCATTTTGTTCGTGATCGTTACTAATTACAGTTGTTACCGAATAAATATTTTTAGTTTTAATAACATATTGTGAAAATATAATGTTGCAAAATGCTGTATTGTACTAAAAATAACCCAGTAAGTAATCGACAGTAATATTATAACATTAATATTATAATTTTATACTCAACAATATATAAATATAATATATAACATATACATGTTGTACGCAACAATAATTGTTGAATGTGAAATTATTATTATACATTGATGTTATGTTACTGTTAGTAGTGCTTACTTGTTATATAGCGTTAGAGCCAATCGTTTTTTTAAAACGGAATAAAGATATTGCGCGCGATAACTTCGTTTCCATAATTGAAAATTGAACCAAATTTTTCACAAAATTTGCACATCTATCGAGTGATTATTACAAGTCATTAACTTTGTATTTTAGAGGGAATTAAATAACGTTAAATTTAGAGGTGTAGATGCCCAATACTGTTACGATACTAATTTCTGGGCCATAAACGAACATGGGGACATAGCGTATCAATCTGCTATAAAATGTCAAGAATCTGCTGAAATATCTATTGAAAACAGCCTTCAGTTTCTCGATAGCCTCAAGTCGGTAGGTTCTCATTGTTATTATTTTATATTCTCAAATCTCTTTGCAACCTGAATGTATAATTACCATAAATTTAATTTAACCGTGCCAATTTTCTCGACAGCTTGGGTACGAGTTGATAAAAGAATTGAATGATATCTTCCTGAACTGCTATGATGACGATACTACTAAAACGCAAAGTTGCTTCCTTAGCGAGTTCGGGAAAATCAATAACGCCGTGAAGGAGTTTGAAGAGGATGCCAAATACATTGAGTATAACTCATTACCAGCGTCCAACTACGTCGTTCTGCAGACCACTCAATGTCTGAGCAACGCTTACTTGTTAGCGCGCTTCGAAAGTCAGGGTGCAATGATGTCTAATTCTAGATGCATTCGAAACGCCGTGAATAAAAAAACTGATGAATAAAGTTTAATCGTTTAAAAGAGTCTAATGCATTTGTCGCTTACAATTTATATTCAAAATTATACTAGAGAGAAAACAATGCATTTTGACAAATCAATTAATGCAATCAATTTGACAAAGATGCTCTGTGTACGATTATATGCGTGTATCGAAACAATGCTTTGATCATTAATGGTGTGCTTTATACGATATATTTTTAAAGATATTTTTTATGTATGTATAATATACTTAAGAGAAATAAAAATAATTAAAAAATTATTAACACGAATGTTATTTATTGGTACGTTTCCTGCTTATTCGCAACTATCACTCATTGCGTGCGTATTTCGATAAATTTTCAAAATTGTTTATGATAACTCGTGTCTTATCGTGTTATGTGGATTATATACTCCGTTTTATCTCTCGGATAAAATCTAATAACTTGTCGAAATAAAAGTAGTATTATAATATTCCATTAAGATAACGATATTCCATTAAGATCTTATGTTTTTTTAAAACGTCAAATGTATAAAAGAGTAAAATTAACATCGATTGTCAGTCAATTTATTTCTGGTGACAATCGAACAATTCTCAAGTGAAATTAACGAGCAAATTAACATGAGAAGTGCCGTAGCATTATGCTTTTTAGCAGTACTTTGCTGTACCGTGAGTCTATTTTCTCCTTATTTGAAGAATAATTTGTAATAAATACGATCTTGTCTTTGTAGAACATTAATTTAAAGTTTCAGATTACATTAATATTAAGATTATATTGTAAAAAGGAGATTGTTAAAACCATTGTCTGCCAAAGAAAAAAATCAATTTTATTAGAAATTTTAATATAAATTTCCTCTATATCATCTTTTATCGATATAATAAATTATTTTGATTAAATTTATATGTATTAATATTGAATGGCGAACAAAGAATATGTTCGTTCTAAACAAAGCATTTGTTAATATTATTGTTATTTTTTACCTTAGGCCGATGCAACTATTTTGAATATTAAATTGCGTCAAGTGCGGGACACGAAAATAGACGTGGAAAATACCATACAGCAACTCAAACATATCAGCGAAAACACTCAGAAAGACGTAGAACAGGCCGTCACGAAGAAATTGTTGCAATCAATGGAAGAGTACAATAACTACGCCAATTCAGTACTCAATACGATACGAGTAAGTAGTTAGTAGTTAGTAGAGACCCTTTAATCAGAGACTGGCCATAAGGATTTCGTCAAATTTCTCCAAGCGAGAAAGGAGTATAGGCTATCTCACTTTTCCATCAATAGCGGTGTGTATACATGATGTATACACACCGCTATTGGTGGAAAAGTGAGATAGCCTATACTCCTTTCTCGCTTGGAGAAATTTGACGAAATTCTTATGGCCAGTCTCTGATTAAAAGATCTCTATAAATAGTTAATAGTTACCAGCTGGCGTAAAAGAAGCATGACAGTGTCTCGCGCCACGCTTAGCGCCGAGACACTACCGTGTCTCCAGATTCGCATTGGTTTATGATCGAGCTATATGAGCTTAACAGATTTTCAAAAATATATATGTATCTATATCAAATAAATTTTTTTGTATATGCTGCAGTTGTATATTGAAATTATTAGAAACCATTATAAATTAGTTTTTCAGAAACACGCTTAAATTGAAAACTATATGAATGTACTAAACAAACAACATTTCGAATACATCAATCATAACCCAAGTAGAAGAACATGACGTCAAAATGGACATCATTTTGACGTTATCGTAAGTCAGTCTTAGTTGTTCTACACTTGGGAATATACATTTATCTATCAGTATTCGCGCTTATATTATATTTATCTATCAGTACACTTTTGATAATAGCAAAACACAACATTTGATAAAGTGATATAAATAAAAATGTAATACATTTTAGCTTAATTATTGTTGCCTTCTTTATCGTTAGAAAGAGGTGGAAGATGCCAAGGCGAGAGGCAAGAATGCTAAACCATGCTATGATGCCGCTCTTAATATTCTTAATAATAGTTACCGCACAGCATATACCAATGCTCAACAATGCCGACGAAATGCCATACTTTCTATCAACAATAACCTTAGTTTCAACGATCAGCTTATCACGGTAGGTTCTTGCAATCGCACATATCACCTACTTTCCACTGAATGATTAATCATTAAATTCGTGTTAATTCGTTCTTTTTTACAGACCGGACACGACTTAATAGATGAATTGGACAAAATCTTTCCGGACTGTTATGAAAAAAATTCGGAACTTATCGACATTATAAAATTGTATAATTGTATCACCAATCAGCTTGGGATAAGTAAGATTGGCGTGAAAAATTTAAAGAAAGATGTTAGTTCCGCTAGGTCTACCGCTAAAAGTGCGTCTAAAACTGTCATTCAGCAGAGTACTGATTGTTTGAATAAAGTTTACTCGACCGCGCGCTTGGAAGTCGCGGAGGCCAGGTCAACTGCTACTAGATGCCTCAATAAAGTGTAGAAGAAACGTTTATCTTTAATTATATATTGCATTAGTACATACAATTTATTGCCATTTGAAATTAATCGCGCAAGAAAAATCGTCAAGGCTTTGTCAATTTGATCAAAACAGTTTCGTAGTTACATTTCGATAACAGAATTAGCTCAATAGATTTAGATAAGTTAATGTAAGTGAAGTTCACGATATCATATATGTTTCAAGATTTTATTATCTGCTTTAAAGAAAAGTTCGCTCTTTTTCTTTGCAGAATATGAAATGAATAAAAATAATTGCAAAACAGAAATTACTTGTTGGTATATAATCACGCGTTTGCGAATACCTTTTGCAACCTACAAATACAACATTTCGCAAAATATATTTTATGGAATTCGCGATATAGTTACAATTCACTTTTGTTTCATTGTTTATTTGTCACAATTCTAAAGAGAAAGTTTTTCAGAAAATAAATTTTGAAAATTTTGAATCATTAAAATTTTGTAATATTAATTTTGAAATGCAATTTTGATGCAATAACTGACTGTAGAGAAATAAAAGTATATATATTTTTTAAAAAAGTTTATTCTTTATTTTTTCTTTATATTTTCATTCTTTTTGTGTAAATAATTAAAAATGATAATAAATCAACATTATCTTTTCCGCTCCAAATACAATATCCTGTAAAATAAATAATTATATGCGTACATAATACTGCAGGGTCCACAATTTTTATTGAAACTATTTATAGATACTATTTATAGATATTTTAATGATATTATCGATGATATAAATAAAGGTGCAGACTTTAATAAAACAGACATTAAATTACATCATAAATTTTTTATGAAAAAATATGTGATTATATAAGAATTTTATTTTAATTTAGACCCGGCAACTTGTTTACTCGTGAGCAGGCCCGGCAACTATAATGTAGAATTGTGGAGCAATAATCCACACCCAAAATTAACTTATTGTTAATGTGGAAATCCACATTGAAGGAATCCAAGAAATTAAAAATCAATTGTGAATTTTTTAAAATGTGCGCAGATGCTGACCGATATTTGTGATGGCATTACAACTGCGCGCATAGCAGAGATTCAACTTTTAGATATCATTTATACTAGCCGTAACCGTGTGCCGTATGTGCCGTATATGCCGCTGTAAGAATTGAGTATTCACAGTCGAGCATTCTTCTCTTACAATTGAATGAGAGGGGAATACTCGAATAGCTCGAATATGATTAATCAATTCTTACAATTACGACATACGATTACGGTCAATATAAATGATCCCTTACCGACTATTAGACAGAGCGTCGCAATATTCGCAATTGTAAAAAAGGGGATGGCAACAAAGAGTATAAATAAATAAGAAATAAACCCACCTTTCGTTAGTCAAAAATTTCATATCCACGGGCGAGGTAAGTTGCCGTCCCTGCTTGTGAATACATACATATAATCTGAAACATCTGTCTGACGTACGTCTTAAAGTAATTCACATCTGGGATATATGTCATAATGGTAAAATATAACACTGTATCTGTTTAATCTAGAAATCATAAATCATCGATGTTTGGTGAATGTCTCATAAACCACATTTCCACTAAAAATAAATGAGACAAAATCAAAAGGTTCTTTGATATAAAATTTCGATGGTTAAGGATAAGGATCGATAAAAGTTAGACGTAATTATTGATGTAAAAATTTTTATAGCACTGCTATAAAAATTTTTACATCAATAATTATGATTATTTTGATAATTCGATTATTTTGATAACATCATACAAACAAAATTGTTTCTATATTCGTTATCTCTACAGTCGTAACAAGGACAATCAATATTATTAATTTATTTATTTATGCATTATATAACCGCATTTTAATTTTTATCGATCCTTATTATATATAATTTTATTTAATCGTGATCTCGTATAATTGAAAAATCTTTTCTATTCTTATTGATACACTGGTTACGTTTACATCGTGCGCTTAGTCCGCGACTTATACGATAGGTGTCTTTGTCTAATATACAGGATAAACAAGGACGTCTATTGTATAGGCCGCGGCCTGAATGCAGGGTGTAAACGTAGCCACTTTATCGTGATAAAAATGTTTTGCTTGTTTAAGCTCGGTCATACGTATTTAAGAGATAAAGTTAAATTTAAGATAACGTATAATAAATCAACCTAAGACTCCTTATCAAAAAACCAGGAAAGGACAAGGGCAATAGGAATCAAGCGCGGGAGACGTTGCGCAAATAACACGACTATCTAGCGTAAAACTTCTTTATTTTACTAAAGCGCTTACATGTTTCGGCTCATTTTTTTTAGCCTTCTTCAGAAACAACATAAACTCACATATATAGAATATAACAAATATTAACTAGTCATGGTGATCTTCCCCACCTCGAGAGTATAAATGCCAGAATTAAATCCAGATAAGAATGCAATGAAGAAAAAAAGGAAAGAAATTTTGAAAATCTCGAAATAAAGAAAATGTAAAACTAATGTATCAAAAAATGTTTGAAATTATAATTAATTATTCCGAAAGTTAGGAAGCTCACCCTGATCATGTAAGCGCTTTAGTAAAATAAAAAAATTTTACGCTAGATAGTCGTGTTATTTGCGCAACGTCTCCTGCGCTTGACTCCTATTATCCTTGTTCTTTCCTGATTTTCTAAATTTAAGATATACATACATTTTTATTAAAAGAGAGGTAAAAAAAGGTTATTTAGTATTTATTACTTTAAATGAGTTTTCGGAATTTATTTTATGTTTTTATTTTAAATAAATCTTATCAGTCAGGGGTCGGTCGTATTTAAAATAATTTTATTTAAAAAATGTATTTTAAATAAAAAAAAATTAAGTAGTTATTTAGTATTTATCATTTTAAAGAACCTTTTCTGACTAAATTCTTATTTTATACTTAAAATAAATTTTTAGAATCTAAAGTACTGTAGGGTAGAGCGGGGTTAGTTGTGACACTTTTTCTTTAAATTATTATAAATCTTCACACAATTATGATAGATTAATGGTAAATGCTTTAAAATGTTGCATGTTCATCTGGCTCAATAATTAAATACTTATAAATCCTTAATATATCTCGTAAATAAGAAAAAAATTACGTTAATTACAAGAATGCAAAGTGGACCAATATGCCCCATCTATGGGGCATGTTGAGCATTCTCGAAGGATAAATTGAGTACCATGAAGGTAACTGTTTAATGAGGTTATATATTATTAAAAACATGAAAGGATTATATGTATATTAATCAAATTTTTATTATTTGCATCTTAAATATAATAATTTGTAATATTCTTTCTTTTTAAATGCTTTAATTAACAAAATTAGAAAAACTAAAATCTTTACTCTTTATAATAATAATTAAATGTAAAATATATGTTTAATCGTTGACATAGAATAAAAAGCATTGATAAAGACAGATTTCATTTAAGCAGCTGAGTTTATAAGGTTAGTTATGAGGTACTGGCCCAACAAGCCCCATATCGGTGTTGACTGAAATACTTTTTTATAACCGTAAATAAAATAGCAACTTAAACATTAAAGTTAAAAAATACGATAATAACTTATATCTAAAAAACACATTTGATTATTATCAATCGCTCTAATTACCATGTAGACCAAAAAGAATACTCACTTAATAATTTTACTTTTGATATACAAAAACGAAAAAGCGTACGTATTTGGCTGTTGATAGCCGGACATAGATTATTGTATTAAGGTACAATAATCTCTGTTTTTGTGCTACATTACGCAAGCATAGATATTACGTATCTATATATATTTTAGTTATTTAGATATTTGCATTTGACCAACTTGCCCCTATACTCAAATAGCCCCGCTCTACCCTACGTGCTTTGTACTATGTAGCATTGGTCGCGATTACGTTTCAAAAAGAAATGTGAATTAAGAAGAACGGTACGGGAAGGAGGGCTACCTGTCACGGTAGCCTCAGCCACAGCAATGGAATGATTGCGCGTACTGCACGATCAACGCGGTGACGGGTGGCTACTGGCTAGTGGCTACGCGTAAGGGCGTAAGCAGCCCTTGACGCCCCGCCCCGCCCGCACCCTTCCGCGGCAAAACAAACCCTCCCAGGACGCGCGCGCCAACAGTCTAACTATCGAAATATTAACGCATATATTACGAAATAAGTAAAATAATCTATTAGTTACATTTTTTATATTCTCCGATTAGTAGGTTTTATTACTTTATTTCTTAGATTCTTTGTGCACACACTATACACACACAACTCATCTATATCTTAGATATTTCAGTAAGCGATTATTAATTAGTATTGCAATAAGCGATTATTAGTTTGTAATAACTTTATTATACAGGTTTCATACATTTATCATACATTTCCTCTAACTTGATCGTTTAAAATATCTCTGCATTGTTTTTGATGATACGAGAAAATACCACAGGGATCTTCTTCTTCAAAATCTCCCCTGTATGATTTTTTTCGACCCTATTCGTGGATCACAGTATCATGCGTATCAATTCTAGTTTTGTAGCCCCTTCGGGGACAGGGGCTTGTTTATGTTTTTCAATCTGGTAGTAATGGAATTTATAGAGATAAATTATAGAGTAATGGACTCTACAGAGTTTGTCAACACTCGAGGGGACCTACCCAACGGTTCAACGTCGAATCCGAACGGCGAACGTGAAAAATCGCGTATATGATGGGGTGCAGTCGCGCAGGTGGGATCGAACCCGGATCCGCAGATCGCGAGTCAATCGCACTTGATTGCACTGAGCGGTGAGCCATTATTGCCCGTATTCATAGTCAGACCTTATACTTAAGGCTTCCTTAAATTTATCTTTAGATGCTCAGTAGCTAATGAAATAATTCGTAGAGTATCTGAAGATAAATTTAAGGAAGCCTTAAATATAAGGCCTTACTATGAATACGGGCATAGGCCTGTTCTTTTTGTCTGAACTTTTGCACCTCAGTCCATCTTTTTTCCTCTTCTTTCCTTCCGGAGAGAAAAGGAAGAAAGACGGACTGGTGCAAAAGTTCAGTCAAAAAGAACAGGCCTATTCAGCGCTCTCACAGCGGGATCTCGTTCGGTTTGAAGAGGCACATATGAGCAATTATGATGAGCAAAAAATTTTCTCAATATCATATTTTTTGAGTACACTTCAAGATGTACGGGCGATTTAATTTTCGACGGTGTCACGAAAAACACTGACATTATTTCGTCGAATCCATCTTATTACCTACGGATGAAAATTTACTCATGTGCATGTAGCAGCGAGTTTGACAATATCACAT